TCAATGCTATATTACTCTAGCATGTCCTATCATGTCAATCTTACCTGTACTGAGGCATCTCTATGCAGTTTGTATGTTTTTGTAAGGTGATCGGTATTTTTATCACCTTGTTTTGGTTAAGTAACTTTTCAGATACATCTGGCCATTACAACATGTCTTCATACATGTTTCTGCATATAACAGGGGTGTCAAACTGCCGACCCACGGGCCAGATGCATCATAGCAAAACCGCGCCCACTCCATTGCCGGCAATGACAAAAAAGTCGCAATACGTTGTGACACATCACGTGACATTGCAAGTTTGACACCCCTGGCATATAGACTTCCTTGGAAGAACCTAAAAAAATACTTCTGCGACCTTAAATGGATTGATCGTGTGGCAATATGTATCGGCTTCTTTTAAAAGTATGTTGATTGAAGAATTTGAAACAATACTTTAGGTGAAAAGGAAAGATGCAATTATTCCTGATGAAAGAGTTATATTGCGGTGGAGCCTCTGAGACACATTTATGTAAAATTTGATCTTTAGGGTGATTGGATAAATTGTAAATCCCCCCTAATGGAAAGAATTACCCTGACTGATTTTTTAAAAAATAATAAACAACAGCATTTTCTTTTCTTTCAAGACTGTCAAAGAATATTTTCACTGGGGTATTCATTTATTTATCTTATGTTTTTATGAGCCCTCAAATGCATAGCTACCAGACTTGGGAAAAACATATAGGGAGGCCGAAACTCAGAAGGAGCACTTATCACAGCAATAAATAAACAAAAAAAGCTTCACCAATTTGTGTGTGTTGCACCATGGTGAGCAACTCTAGATCTCAGGACCTTTCTTAGACACATTCAGTAAAAATCTTCTGGCTGGTTTCTTGACATTTTGCAGTGGGGAATGTGTTGACATTAAAATGGAAAGCTTAACATGGACTTAATGTTTTTAAAACAAACATAGACAGTCCTACTTTTATCATGAGTGTGATGTAGCCCAGCTCCTTTTATTTCCTGATTCCTTCCCCTCTTGTTAAGCCTGGCCCCCATCTCTTCCTGAATATGTAATCCGTTCTAGCATCCCTTTTCTTAACTGCCGAAAAAGTTTAGAAAATGGTAATAGAAAGGCATTGGATATGCTACGCATAATGCAAGACTTATGCAGAATTATAACATAGCTGCTGATTTTTTTTTTACCATTAACTTAGAACTTTAAATGACAAATAAAATTATACATTCTGCAGACACAGTTCGGTATATTTGCTCCCGTAGTTCTCTGTTTTGCACAGAAAGCTGTCTTTTTCCTGTAGGGAATCTATGTTATGTGGCTTTCCTTATCATTTATATCTTCATGTTGAAAAACAGCACTCGAGACATTTCTGGGAGTCATGTATCTGATGAAGACGTAGGCAGTGTGCCCATTAAAAGGAAGCAACTGTAAATATGCATTAGTCTGATTTGACATTCTTTTTTAAAAGTCAATTTTCCTAAACCATGAAAACTAGTAAACTTGAAAAGTACCCGACATAGGCTTTGTTTGTTTAATCCTAATGTATAAGCTTCAAGATTTTGTCATTTCCTCTGACTGCTATGACCAGGCCAAGATGACAAAAATAATAATAATAATAACAAAACGGTGAGTTACATTCTTGTGCATTCTCACCAGACAAGAAGTTTCCTTGAACATTGTGAGAGGTTTTTTGTTTTTTTTTCCTGAGCAAACACCTCCTCAGGTTTGTTATGTCACTGAATGGCTTCTAAGCAAGTAAAACATTTGTTCCCTACTTAATCCACAGATAATAGCTTTGATAGTGTAAAATGTGAGGATTCCTGAACTGGGAAATAGTAATTTTTTTTTTTTTAAGTTTCTCATCTGCCTTTGCAACTCTAAAGTTTGGGAAAAAAAATATTAAGTTTCTAATCTGCCTTTGCTGTGGTCTAACTGAATTTGAAGAACAGGATCATCAGTTTTACCTGCAAGTAATTTTCGGCTTTCTTCCTGTCAATCATACTAGTGGAAAATTCCTCCATTCATTTAAAAAAGATAAACAGTTGTAACTTTCAAATTTGGTTAATGTGACATCTATTACTGGCTTGAGCTGTCAGCATTCCAAAAAAGGGATATCACCCTGATCTCCAGCCTATCAGGATGCGTGAGGCTGAGTCTTGGAAAGTAAACCTAAACATTTACAGGTGTATAAGTACTGGTGCTAGCTAGTACAGATGATGCACCTGTCTCAGGAAAAGGACTAACACAGGTGTGTTGGAACTTGGGCTACTGCCAGAGCTAGATTATGAGCTCATTTGATCCACAGATACACTCACCTCCACGCTGCAGCCCGCAATTTCCAAGCATCGGCCAGGAACCACCTGAAATGAACATCTACTATGAAAATTTCTTCCACCCACAGAACGTTCCCAGTCCGCAACGGCCCACCAACTTTGAAACAGGGGATTACTCTGCTGCACCCAATCCTTACTTGTGGTTAAACGGACCTTCCATTAATTCTCCACCTTACCTGCCAGGATCCAATGGCAGCCCATACATCCCACCATCCTATGGAATGCAAAGGCAGCTCTTGCCCAACATGCATGGCTTGACAGGGAATGACATGGGCTGGCTCCCTATGCCTTCTCAAGAGGAGCTGATGAAGCTGGTAAGACCACCTTACTCCTACTCTGCCCTGATTGCCATGGCCATCCATGGGGCACCGGACAAGAGGCTGACGCTCAGTCAGATCTACCAGTATGTGGCAGACAACTTTCCCTTCTATAATAAAAGCAAGGCTGGCTGGCAGAACTCCATTCGTCACAACCTGTCCCTCAACGACTGCTTCAAGAAGGTGCCCCGGGATGAAGACGATCCAGGTAAGAATTTTTCTTAATACTCACTTTGCTCTTCAGCCAAAAGATCTTCTGAGCAGATTCTGATTCTGTTTTGCTCACCGTAAATCCAGGCAGGGTCTTTACAAGTGGCTTTCAGTGGCTTTGAACTCATCTAATCATAATTGTGTCCCAGTAACAAGGATGGGCTTTAGATCAGCATAGGAAAGGCCGGTTGACAGTGTGGGTCCCTGGGGCAAAATGGCTTGAGACTACTAAACTGCAGAGCTGCTTCCTCCTTTACCAAATTCACATGACTTGATATTCACAAATATAATTCCCTAAGCCACACTTCACCAGTTTTTGATTCTATGCCTTTAACAGTTATGTGATAAGAAAGATAATGATAATTCTGTGCTCTGAGAAGTATTGCCTGTTGAGTAAAAGACACTGGAGCATTTTTCCTGTAGTCAGTTGTGGTTCTTTCCTTGGCTGTGAAATGAACTGGCTCTTCCTTACAATTTCTTGGTGGATAAAACAATTGCTGGGGGACACTTCCAAATACCCTCCCTCCTTCCTATCTGCAGACTTGCCCAAGGTCAAATTCTGCTTTGTTTCATTAAATTCTCCTGATGCTAATTAGGGGTCTGTCAAGTATTTTGTTGGAGAAGTAGGTTGTTTTTTTTTTGTATGTATCTGATAAGCACAAACTGTTAAAATAAAAGTTCACTTTTACCTCAAGGCAACCTGGACAGGGCCTGGACAGGGTTATTTGAATACAAGCAGCCTCTCCTCCCTCCCTCCCTCCCTCCCTTTTTTTTAAAGGGTGTTGCCCAATCTGCTGCTTTTTCTGAATCCAAGCCAAGCTAAGCCTTGAGAACCTGCTCTTTGTTGGCTACAGTTATATTTATGCTTTTTTGCTCTTGTTCTAACAGGGAAAGGCAATTATTGGACTCTGGATCCAAACTGTGAGAAGATGTTTGACAATGGAAATTTTCGGCGAAAAAGGAAGAAGAAATCTGATTGTAGCGCCAGCACGGTGAC